TGTACCGATTTACAATCCCACCAGCAATTTTTATGAGTATTTGCCAAAGCTGAGTAAGTATGAGCATTTAAAGAAGCCTTTGGAAATTTAATAGGGGGTATATGATATTTCCTGCATCCTTTAGCTTGTGTTGTACATAGACTGTAAATTATAATCTGGCATCTTGATGCCAGAAATTATACTTTTCTACAATGTGTAAAATGGACAAAATAGGACAATTTTATGTGGCTCTGATGGCTTCCTTCCTTCCTTCCTTCCTTCCTCCCTTCCTTCCTCCCTTCCTTCCCCCTCCCTCCCTCCATACCTCTCTTCTTTTTCTTATTCCTTCCTTTTTCTGTTTTAAAACCTAGATTGAGCCTGAGTAGTATACAGTTAAATGGCACATTTAGAATCAGAAACTCTTGGACCTATAAAGGATGAAAAATATCATGCAGTTAACTTTACTGATTAAGAAACCAAGGTTTAAAAATAAGGGAAGTTCCCCACCCCCACCAAGGCTATAGAAGGTCAATAGAATAAAATATCAAAGCACTATTTTGTCTTATTGTATGTCCTTTTCATTATACGGATAATATATATTCATTGGAAGATACAGAAAAAAATTTAAAATTAAATTTATATTTATATCATCTGAAATTCTGTATTATAGAAAAAAAATCAGTTGATGTTTTGTGATATATCTTTCAAGAATTGCATACATGTACATACAGTAATATAAACAATACATAATCTACCAGTATATTTGTGTGTACTTATATGTGTGTGTATCCATCATCTCTCAGTTTGTCTGTCATATGTATATATTTATGTAATTATCTATTTTTTCAAAATAAACATCTCCTCTCCTTTAACAGCATTGTGATGTTCTTCTTTTGTGCTATTGACTATTGAGCTCCATTCAGAGATAATGCTCAAACTATTTAACAATTACTATTTGATTGGCACCAAGTATCTGAAAGAACAGACTCTGGCTGGGATCACTGCTGTGACAAATGTCATTCCCTTAACTGACAGATGAGGATGTGAAACTGATCTTTCTAGGTTGTAGGCTGGTTGCAGAAGGGAGGCAAAAGAGCCTTTACACCTGAAGAGAAAGAGAGACCCCTTGAGGAATTCTTGGCCACCTCAAGTTTCCAGCCAGCAAGGAAACTGACCTCAGCCCTACACCTGCAAGGAACAACCTAGATTCTGCCAGCAATCTAAATGAGATTCAAAGCCAATTCTTCCAGATCCTCTTGAAAAGAGCTCAGCTTGGCATATGCCTTGATTTTGGTCTTGTGAGGCCCTAAGCAAAAAACTCAGCCTAGCTGCTTAGACTTTTGACCTATGAGACAATAAATGGGTGTTTTATTCAGCTGCTAAATTTGTAGTTGTTGCAGCAGCTATAGGAAACTAATACAGTCAGTATGAAGGCACTATAAATTATTTGACTAATTACAGTATTTGTTATTGGGTACCTAGGTTGAATGTAGGTTTCTCTTTGTTTTATGCTAGCATGAGAAAGAATAAACAATAAAGCTTCAGTAAAAAGCTTGACAACTACATCATTTCATCACCTGTTTGATTATTTCATGAGATAAGATCTTAGAAATGAAATTTCATGGTAAAAATGTTTTTGAAGGCTTTTGGTACATTTGATCAAATTTCCCTAGGAATTTTGTTTTGTCTTACAGTTTACATTTCTTTTACTTCTTTTCTCCCAGTATTGCAATACTAATTATCCTTTTTCTTTGTAATTTTTGATGAAATAATAGGCAAAGATTAACATATTGCTGGTTTTTTTGACCACTAGTGTCTGTAGCATAGTTTCAAGAAGTTAGTGATTTCTGGGTGTGATAGCACATGCCTATAATCCCAGCACTCTGAAAGCTGAGGCAGAAGGATTACAAGTTTGAAACTAGCCTGGGGACCTTATCAATTTAGAAAGAACCTATAGCTCAGTGGAAAGGCTCTGGGTTCAATAACAAGTACTGGAAAAAAAATAAAAGCAGTTAAGGGATTATAAATAGTTATACACTCTTTTTGTTCTCTAATTCTGTATTTAGCCTTATATCTTTTAAATTGTCTATGAAAATAACTAATGAAAATATGTTTTTAAAGAAAATACTGAAGCAATTTATACAGTTTTTTGGAGAACAATGATATAATCAACATAATCTCATTTAATTTATAGCTATGATCTACCAAGAACTATTATTTGAGATAGAACTTGAGAAGTTATATATAAAAGCAAGATATTTGGAAAGAAGCACAGTTTTTAGTGAATTACTACTTAAGCTTCAATCATTTGGTTTTTTATTTTCTTTAATTTTCAGACAATTCAGACAGTGAGTTCTAAAAATAAAAATCCCATAATTATTATGTGGGCACATTATTTCCCAGGGTATATTTTAAAATTTCTATGATATGCATTTGTGTGAGAAGTGGACAGAAAGTAAATATAAGGACAGTAAGTCCTTGACAGACATTTGAGTCGTGAACTTTCACAGATATGAACAGATCTCGCATAATAAACATTTGTAGATGCGAACAAATTCTGGAAGTAGCTAGGTGTCTGCCGGACATTGTCGCAGTTGTGCTGCTGTGTGCTCACTGTACAGTGCGATAGGGCACAGCCGGACAGGGCTCAATCAGAGCTCAGGATGTCCGGAACCAAGAGGAAAAGCAGTGGTGATGTGGAGGGGGCTGCTAGGAAGCGCAAAGCAATAACCGTGGAAACAAAAGTGAAAATAATTGAGAGATTGGATAGAGGTGAAAAGATGGTAGACAGAGCTTGTCTTTACAACATGAATCGTTCAACCATTACATAGCATATTTGTGTCAAAAGTATGTAAGACTCACCTTGTTGGACTTCCGAGCAAATCCGACTAAGAACATTCTCCCAGGACAGAACTTATTTTTAAGTCAAAGACTTAGAATAGTAATAATGATAGCATAGAATATTCTTTTAAAAATATTTGTGTGGGGATCGGGGATTTAGCTCAGCAGTTCTGGGGCCTGCCTCGCAAGCGCAAGGTCCTGAGTTCGATCCCTGGTAAAAAAAAAAAATAAATAAAAATTTTGTAAAGTAATATTGGAAGCAAAGCATTAAAGCTTTTTGCCTAAATAGAAATTATGTTTACTTCTTTCTCTGAAGTTTCTCTAT